GTGTATATACTATGTCACAGTTACACGTGTGTATATACTATGTCACACTTACACGTGTGTATATAATATGTCACAGTTACACGCGTGTATAAACTATGTCACAGATACACGAGTGTATATACTATGTCACAGTTACACGTGTGTATATAATATGTCACAATTACACGCGTGTATATACTATGTCACAGTTACACGTGTGTATATAATATGCCACAGTTACACGCGTGTATAAACTATGTCACAGTTACACGAGTGTATATACTATGTCACAGTTACGCGTGTGTATATACTATGTCACAGTTACACGTTTGTATATACTACGTCACAGTTACACGTGTGTATATAATATGTCACAGTTACACGAGTGTATATACTATGTCACAGTTACACGTGTGTATATACTACGTCACAGTTACACGAGTGTACATATGTATATACTATGTCACAGTTACACGTGTGTATATACTATGTCACAGTTACACGTGTGTATATACTATGTCACAGTTACATGTGTGTATATACTATGTCACAGTTATACGAGTGTTTATACTATGAATAGGTCGTCAACAACCTGTCACCGTTGTTTCAATGTTTGTTATCAAATTTTAAAGAAAAATAACGGTTCATCAAAAGTTTGCTTTTTAAATTTAAAAATTGATTATTGATAGTTTGCTACTCAGTACAAACAACGATCACTTTGTTGAACTTCTTTCTACCATAATTGGCATCAAATTTTCGAATGACCGAAACCCTGTTTTCATTTGACGTTTTAACTCTCGTAGGGATTTATCTGAAGTGATTAGGTTGTAAATTACATATGTAACATGTAAAAAGAACCAGATTTAGTTACAGCTCTTAACCCAAATTATGTTTCATTTTTCTAAAAATGCTTTATTTATTTCAAATATCTTGATAGTGATCTATTTCAATCGATTTAAGGGCTAATGTTGCTAACCATTGTAAAAGAGGTGTTCGAAGTCTAAGTGAGCTAATCTTCAAAACGCCGCGTTCCAGAGTTAAAACTCCAATCGCTCAAAGGTTAGCTAGAGTTTAAAAAATATAAATACAAGATAATCTAGAGCATTCATTTTCTTTTCACTGCTATACATTTGTTAAGACAGACCAAATTGGGGATTTGTTTTACTTTGAAACTCCTTGGTTCCTAATGACAGCCATTAGAATTATTGTTCACTAACCACTAGGCCGTTTTCGTTTAAACGGTCAAACCGGTCGGACAACTGTTGTTCGTTTATCAAATAAGTTCGGACCTAGTAATCTGATGCTGCTTTCAGGCGAGCCTTAACAAAGCCTTGCAAGGCCTGCATAAACATTTGCAGGTTCGCCGTGTTCAAGATAAGTCTCGGTTGCTCAAATATTCAAATCAAATCTATAGCAGATATCAGATGCTCTTAACTTTCTTGTATTCATATTTTCAATTCCCCCCTAACCATTGGTTAATTCCAACCAAATTTTGAGTAACCGGGGTTATAAGAAAAGTGAAGAGATGTTTTAATCAATCGTGTTAATTGACATTTAGGTTTGGCCAATGCCTTCATCGTCAAAAATAGTGCCCGATAGTTAAGAAATATTGGCAAGTGTGGCAGAAACTACGATTAGAGCTTGTTTTAGAGTTTGATTTAAATAAGACACAGTTTTGGAGATTTTTTGGTTGATAACGACAAGGTGCTTAGCGTCATTTATTTGTTTTCTCAATACAAGAGCTACCTAAAGTTTGGAAGATGTAATAAAACATCTTCTTAGATGTACGGAACTAACTTGTTTTTGTTTCCAATCCTATACAGGGCCATTTCGTTATTAAAGTGAAGGTACAAAATGACAAGAAGCAGGAGTTTGCCTGTGTGAGGGTCGACGTCAAAGTCGCGGGCAGTAAGACAGTTGTGATGTAAGGACTATCATGGCATCAACCTAAATACCTGAACACAGCTGATGTTTCCGTGAAAATTTCCAATTTTCCTCGATTTTTATACGAAAGAACCAACCCAACTTGTATACATGTTACATACCCCCAATGTGGAGATTGCCTCTTCAATGTTAAAAGCAATCCCCTGTGTTTGAGAAATATATTTTGTTGTGAAAGAGGAGAAAACCGACGTTTATTGTATGTGTTTGTTTATACTTGTTAGTCGTTAGCGACTTTCAAATAAATTCTACTATCAAAGAAGAAAGAGTGGTCGTTTTTATTCGGAGCACTGGATGCAAAATATTTAAGTTTAGTAAATTCATTTGAAGAAAAAGTACTGATTCAGTGTTACGCTTTCACGGGAACACTAGAGTTCTAATGGGCCTGTATCACCTGATATTCATCGCACACAAGTAACCTTATGAATGAATCATGGTCAAATTAATGGGCCAAATTAAGCCACACACCAAACAACGTCACCCTAATATTTTTTTATAAGGATGATTTGTTTCAAAGATTTTTTTAAACATTTTACCCATGTGGATTTGAAAGCGGGTCAAGGTTATTCATTTGGACAAACTTTGTAGCCCATCATCCCGACATGCTACCGGCCATACATCATCACCCTGGGAATATTGGTTGTATACAAATTTTAGTAGATTTGACGTCTGTGACCTTGAAAGTAGGTCAATGTCATTAAGTTGCAAAAATACTGTATACATAGTCCTTCTTCCAAGAATTTATACTGGGCAGATGTCATTACACTGAAGTCGTGACACTGACGTGTCTGAAGGTCATGCAATTAAACAAGCTTGGAAGCCCTTCATCCCAGCTTACTTTTATCCAAATATCGCCACCCTAAGCCATAAGGTTATGCAGAAATAAACTTTTTTAATGATTGGAATATTTGACTCTTGTTACTTTAAAAGTCGGGAAATGTCATTCATTTCAACAATTGGATAGCATTGCATCCACGCCTGCAACTGGCCGAACATCATCGCCCTGGGCCTTTTGGTTATTGCACAAAAATATTGTAAGATGTTTTTTTTATCATTTGACCCCTGTACATGTAACCTTGAAAGTGAGTGAATTAATTTATTTAAACAACTTGGTAGCCATTCATTCCGGCATGCAACTGATCATACATCAGTAACCCCTTGAGCCTTTAGGTTATTCAGAAGAAGTTGTTTGGATATTTCTAAAGCATTAGACCACAGTAACCTTGTACAAACGCGGTGGCAATATATCACGTTATTCTACTGACCACAGATATCATCGTCCTGGACATTTTGGTTATCAATAGAATTGGTTTTAATATTAAATGTAATTTACCCTTATGACATTGAAAGTGTGTCAAGGTCATTCATTTGAATGCGAATTTGGTTAACATTCATCTACTTGCCAGATATTATCAACCTGTGATGTTTTGGTCAATCTCCTTAATAGGAGAAATAATTTTAATATTTAACTAAATTTATACTTAGAAAAGTTGTTTGAAAATTGTTCTATTTATTTGTTCACAGTGACCTTGAAAGTTGGCTAAGGTTATTAATTTGACCAAATACCGTAGTTAACTTGGTAGTGACCACATTATTGCAGTATATATGGTAAAAGGGAATTAACTCGCATTGCCTCCAGTCCTTCTATGATCAGGCTAGCTAATGACTATAAATAACTGAATTTCCTTATAGCCCGAGTTCATTGTTTTGTTTATAAAATTTTCATAACGGGAGAGTTTATCTTTATATAACAGTAATATGATATCTTCCGTGTTATTGTTACAAGGAAAAGCAAATACGCATTGAGGTATGATTTTTACAACACGTTTACTCAAACGAGTGTTTTTGTATGTGTGTTAATGGCTAACCTTCCCTTATACGACCTCCGGCCAACCGTGTGGTAATGTCTAACCTTCCCTCATACGACCTCCGGCCAACCATGTGGTAATGTCTAACTTTACCTCATACGACTTCCGGTCAGCCGTGCAATAAGTTTCCCTGTTTGGAATCCCTTGAACTCTCCAAACGTCGTCTGCTTATTGTGGGCCTAATACCGAGAGAATCCTCAATAGTAAGAAAGGCAAAATGCTAGAACAAGAAAATAATGAAAGATTCGTCACAGAAGACGATTTAGTTCGTAGTACATAAAAACGGAATCCAGGCAAGGAGAATAATAAATTAGCGATCGACCGTTTGAATTGTACATGGTAGGGGAATATAGTATAAACGCCTCATTATTAATGGTACAGTAACAAAGAGCTTATATATATCCACAGACGCAGTGTATAATACATCGATGTACATTGATTTACAGTGTATTATACATGGATGTACATTGATTTACAGTGTATTATACATGGATATACATTGATTTACAGTGTATTATAAATGGATGTACATTGATTTAACGTGTATTATACATGTGTGTACATCGATTTACAGTGTATTATACATGGATGTACATTGATTTACAGTGTATTATACATGGATATACATTGATTTACAGTGTATTATACATGAATGTACATTGATTTACTGTGTATTATACATGGATATACATTGATTTACAGTGTATTATAAATGGATGTACATTGATTTAACGTGTATTATACATGGGTGTACATCGATTTACAGTGTATTATACATGGATGTACATTGATTAACAGTGTATTTTACATGGATGTACATTAATTAACAGTGTATTATACATGGATGTACATTGATTTACAGTGTATTATACATGGATGTACATTGATTAACTGTGCATTATACATCGATGTACATTAATTAACAGTGTATTATACATGGAAGTAAATTAATTTACAGTGTATTATACATGGATGTACATTGATTTTCAGTGTATTTTACATGGATGTACATTGATTTACAGTATAGCATACATGGATGTACATTGATTTACAGTGTATTATACATGGATGTACACTGATTTACAGTGTATTAAACATGGATGTACATTGTTTTACAGTGTATTATACGTGGATGTACATTGATTTACTGTGTATAATACATGGAGATACATTGATTTACAGTGTATTATACATGGATGTACATTGATTTACAGTATTGTATACATGGATGTACATTGATTTACAGTATAGTATACATGGATGTACATTGATTTACAGTGTATAATACATGGATGTACATTGATTTACAGTGTATTATACATGGATGTACATTTATTTACAGTGTATTATACATGGATATCGTTGATTTACATTGTATTATACATGGATGTAAATTGATTTACAGTGTATTATACATGGGTGTACATTGATTTACAGTGTATTATACATGGATGTACATTGATTTACAGTGTATAATACATGGATGTACATTGATTTACAGTGTATTATACATGGATGTACATTGATTTACAGTGTATTATACATGGATGTTCATTGATTTACAGTGTATTAAACATGGATGTACATTGATTTACTGTGTATTATACATGGATGTACATTGATTTACAGTGTATTATACATGGATGTACAATGATTAACAGTGTATTATACATGGATGTACATTGATTAACAGTGTATTATACATGGATGAACATTGATTAACAGTGTATTATACATGGATGTACATTGATTAACAGTGTATTATACATGGATGTACATTGATTAACAGTGTATGATACATGGGTGTAAATTAATTTACAGTGTATTATACATGGATGTACATTGATTTACAGTGTATTATACATGGATGTACATTGATT